GAAAATCATTTGGCTTTGGCTGCGTTGCCTAAAAAAGGGCATGAACAATTTTGTGAACTGCTGAAAATAGGAAAAACGAAAAATAAATGCGGCGCTTTTTATGCCAAAACTAAAGCGTTGGATTCCTAAATGGGCAAATACTTTTGGCAGCAATTGCAATTGCTCGCTCTCTCTCTCTCTCTCTCTCTATCTCTCTCTTGTTTTTTCAGCTTGGATTGCAGCTTCATTGGGGGTGGTTCTTGTAGAATAGACGAACATGGGTGTTGACTTAGTGGTTGTTGTCCTGTCTATGAATTCGCCGTAGGTTTCGGTAGCCCTTTTATGGTTTGCGAAAATTCCAAAAGGGGAAATGGTCTAGTGAGAGGCTTTCATCGAAAGAGAGCGAGAGAGTAAGAGAGGCGGTTTGCGCCAGCGCTCAGAGAGGGACAAGCGCACGTTTGTTGCACGTGCAGTTTTTCCACATGTTTTTCCACAACTTTTCTCGTAGTCTCTTTTTTTTTTTGTATTCTGCTTTGCCGGTCTGTGTCCACACAATACAAATGTGTGTGTGTGTATATACATATATGTATGTATGTATGTATGTATGTATGAAATGTTTGGGTGGTTGTCGAAAATCGACCTTCTGGTGCGCCTTTAATGCGCTTGTAAGGCGTTGTTGTAACATTTCGTAGAAACTTTGAAGGTTGCTTTAAAAACACGCAGCTACAAAGAAATAGAGGAATAGAGAAATATAGAAGGGGGGGAAGTAAGTACAAGTAGTTCTTGTTTCGATTTCTTGTAATGCTTCTTGTAACAGCGACTACGACTTCTAATCAGTCGGCCCGATAGAGACCAAACAGCATATCAGCAAATGAATATTCCAGGTGTTATCATCGACCTTGTTGCTTTGATTATGGGGAGCAGCAAAGTTTTCACTTCAGGGTCTTGTGTCTCTTGATTGGGCCGACTATCAGAGTTTTGTGTTTTCAGTTGCTTTCATTAAAGGAACATTGTAAGTAATATTGTATTGTTTTTTCTTTTTCTCTTTTTATCGTGCTGCCACAGACCCATGTCTGCGTCACTAAAACACTCCTATGACGCAAGTGGTATCCACGTAATGCCCAAATATGTACCGACTTCATGCGCCAGAGCTCTCCAACTCGACGATCATCCCGCACAGCGATAAGACTATAGCCTTTTATTTATGATTTATTAGTCGTGCCGCGCCTCACACAGCGTTTATCTAAATTTCTTAAGCACTATCGCAACCAGAGTACGCTCCCATATCTATTGCTGGTACTGTCGTGGCGCTTTTCAAAGATCTACACGTTTCGGGGAAACCAAAGAACGTTCTAAGAAATTCGAATGCATAGTTAGTGGAACCTCCACTTATCATTAATGATGATACCATTCTTAGCAACGCGAAGATGTACCTACATATAGCTATAGATACCCTTATTCTGAATGGCTGTCCACTTTTTTTTTTTCAAATCTCAGCAACAACATCAATAATTTCATTGAATAAAATATAATGCAAAAGCTAACAACTACAATTTAGGCCACCGAGATGGAAATATATTGCCCAAGAAACTTTGTGTTCGGATCTGTACTTCTACTATTTATTTCCAAAGAGTTCTAGCTCAGAACTGAGAATTAGACCGGAACTGTCCCTGTTAAGCAAACTCAACCAATAGAAGCTTGGGGGACTAGCATCGTTATTATAAATAGGAAAATAGAAAATATGAAAAACCCGTATCGAAATCAAAACACCTTGTCGGTAAAGTTTTGGTTCTTCATTTTCGATGATAGACATAAGTATTTTATACATACTTGTACATATATTATTTTTTTAAATTACTTGTAAATTTCACACGAATCGGAACATTTTAACGGTAAAGTTTTGATTCTTCTGTGGTGGCAATTTTTCGATTATAGACGTATTTTATACATATACTTGTATTATTTTTTAAAATTTAGACATATTTTTTGGAAATATATACATATGTATATTTTTTTAGATTTAGTTTCACACGAATCGGAAGACTATATCATACTATATAGCTGTCAAAAGGAACTGAAATGAACTGAAAATTTATACTAGAAACGGGAAAGGGTATACCAGAAATATGCACATACAGTGCTCAATTTTTCACTGAAAACTTCCGTCTTCAATTTCTGATCGAGTTATATTCGTTTCTTCTTCTATGCACAATAATTGGTTAAAGGTACAGACTTCATTGCGATTTGGTTTTAACCAGGGACTGTAATCATTATAAGCGTTATTAAAAAAATTACAAAATAATGATTATTTTTTAATTTTATTAATTCGCTCACAGTTTAATGATTAATTTTGAGTTTTACTTTAAAAATTAACCAATAATCATTATTGATGAGCAAAAAAATAAAACTTATAAAATAATGATTATTCTTTGAGTTTTATATTGTTGATCAAAAATAAAATTCAAGCTGAAATTTTGTCTGTTTCATAAGGATTAAGGACAAAATTTATATATGTCCTTTATCAGTGAGTCAAGACGAACATTTCTAATTAATATTAATATATTAATATTTTAACATTAAAATTAAGGGGAAGCTCAAAATAACAGAAGTCTTCAAAAAGTATGGTCGCGCTACCGAATATTCGAAATAAATAAATAGATAATAAATTAATAAATAAATACATTTTATAAATGGTTAATTTCCTGGAATTACAAATTAATGTTTTCAGCTTAAACTATGACGTTTATACTTTAGTTTTCCAACCAAAAAAGACGTTCTTTCGCTATCTAAATTTACTCAAAGCTATACTTTTTTTAATGTTAAACATGTAATCTGATAAATGTTTAGTAAAAATAATAACAGCCGAAAGAAAAAATGTGGATGGTAGAAAATTCAAATAAACTAAATACACCTAATTCTGTTTTTACAAGCTAGATTGGTTCTAGAAAAAGTCGTGTAAAAAAGACATTAATCATATGTTATTTTACATCGTGCTAAATGGAATAGTGTCGTGTAACAATTTTTAATTTTCAAACCTTGTTAAATCAAAACCGTGTAAAAACAGAATTAAATGTATAATAAAAGAAAATGTTGTCGTTTCTATTAATTTTTCCAACAAAAAAATACGTTTTTTCGCGATCTAAATTTTAAACATGTAATCTGATAAATATTTAATAAAAATAATTACATTCTGAAAGAAACAATTTTGATGGAAGAAAATTCAAATAAACTAAAAATAATAAAAGAAAATTTTGTCGCTCATACATATAGGGCAGGACATACATATTGGATCCCTGAAAATAATAAAAATGTATTAAATTGTTCTACCTATTTATGTTTAATTTTTGTTGAATCAAATATATAATACAGGGCCGCTATTTTCCCTCCACACTTGTGGGTAGAATTTCTTCAAATCAATCTTTGTGAAATGATTGTTTGAACTCAGGTCGATAGAAAGTTGGAAATAATTATTTAATAGAGTCTAAGCAGGAACTACTCGTAGTCGGCCAAGGAAGTCTGTCATGAGTGTTCTGTGGTTCTTCTGGCCTTTCTGAAGCAGTTGCGAAATGTTGTCGCACTTATTCCCAATTGCGTCCACAATGCCGCAATCAGTTGAGTCATGCTCGCTCCGAGGCGACAGATATAGCCTTAAATCGAACACGTGCCTTGATTGCAACTCGAGTCTAAGCAGGTTGCCTGTCACTAAGCCTATATACGAGCTATATAGCTATGTGTACATACTTATGTGTATATAGGCATTGAAATCAGAAATAGGCTCTACAGTGTTAGTATAAACTGTATACGAGCCGAGAGCCTAATCTAATCGTGAGTTCTTTATTATCATCACGCTGCCAACCAGGCAGGTCGTGCTTGCCTCTCCGATAAGATCATGTGTGGGCAGGTGGGGCGCAAATAGGTAATTGCGTAATCGGAATAAAATGGCAATAAATAATCAAAGAAAAAAAAAAAAAAAAAAAAACCGAAAACAAAAAAAAAATTTAATAAAGTAATGATGATAAATATAATCGCAGTATTGGGAGATAGCACGAGTGCTTCATTGTTGCCATCAACTGTTTGGCCTGGGGATTACGAGAAGCCCTGAGACTGGCTCACGCATGTGACCGATCGACGCGACGATCGTTTCAAGACAGCGACAACAGTGCTCTCCTATTTCCGGCTCGCTCGACCTTTCCACAAACATAGGTACATACATACATATATGGGCATATGTACTTAGTATGTACAGAAAATACATAACAATGCCATCAACAAGTGTGCGTGTGTGTGTGTGTGTGTGTGTGAATGCGTTTAATTAATTACCTAATTGTCGTTTTATTGCTATTCATTCCAATTAAATGGCAGCCCAGAAAAACAGAATAAATGGTGATAAAACAAAAGTGAAACAATAACAAAATAGACAACAACTGTGGGAGAAGAACAACCAACAACAACATGCAAATGGGCCCAAGGCAGGGCCAGGCACAACAGGCCATGGCCCATTGGTTTGTCGTTGTCGTTGTTGTTTGGCCTTTGGAGCTTATCAATTGCAATGTCGCGCCCCACAAGCTGTTTGTTTCGAACATTTTTTCCAACTAACCACCACTTAGCCGTTTGACCGCGCGTCATGTCAAATTAGCCAAAAGTTTAATTAGAAATTCAATTCGATTTTGTAGAAAAGCAGGAAAAGCAGTTCTACGACTTGCCGAATTAGCTGTTTTTTTTTTAATAAACAATTAAGTATTTGTGCAAAACAAAAGTTGTTTGCTCGCCATATTTCTGTGCGGAAAGTTCAATTCGTAACGTTTATGGTTTCAGCAGTGGGAGTAGTGGCTCCATCTGTTGTTAACTAAGATGTGACTTAAGTTGCCGCTAGATGACACTTTTTGTCGCATGGCGCTGCCACACTGCTTCAAAATGTTCTGCGATGGCAACACCAGCAGCTGTTTAGGCAATGACTGCCAAACTCATTGCTAAAAATATAAGCATCAATGCCTTCATTTGTGCAATAACAGCTGTTAAGTACATTTTAAAACTAAAAACAAAACAGAAAAAAGTGATAAACAAATGCATGCTGTGCGCTATCAATGCATGTGGTGTCCAGTGAGCGCTGGACAAAAGCAGCAACACCAACACAGCCAAGCAAAGGAGCAGGTGGCACAGTTGTGGGTCAACTGGACAATATACGCAATAAACTGACGCCGCCAACGCTTGCCCCTGCCTGTCCATAAGGATGCTGGCTTACAATGTGGCCCGCCGCACTGACACGCCTGCTAAGACGACGCATACTCCTGATAATCTTTGCCCTAATTGCCATTATCTACATCTTTGGTAATCTCTTTGATCGGGTGAGTAGTGTGCTTACATCTAATTAGAAAAAGCAACACAAAAAAGAAAAAAAAAGCACCAATAATATTGCTAATGAGCATTTCGGTCACAGAATGGTGCTTTTAATGCGCTGCACTACGATGAGTATACGGTGCAGCGAACGCGTCCGCTACTGTGGCAGAAAATGCTTCTGCCGGAGGAACATCTCAATCGTACCCATGATCCGGAGCTGCGCTGTCGGAACTCCGTGCAGGGACGTGAGCTGCTGGCCGATGAGCGGGGATTTGTGTGCCGACGGGAACAGATGCTCTCCAATGGGTGCTGCAATTTGGAATTGGCCGACGTCAGCTACTACAGCTGCCACACCTGCAATGCCAGCTCCCATTGCTGTGCCATCTACGAGTATTGTGTATCATGTTGCCTGCATCCGGACAAGCGACCGCTGCTCGAGCTGGTCCTACGCTCCCCCAATGGCCAGAAATATATCTATGCCACAGTCGAGGATCATTTCGAGCTGTGTCTGGTCAAGTGCCGCACCAATTCACATTCGGTGGAGCACGAGAACAAGTATCGAGATGAGGAGGCCAAGCATTGCTATGGCACAACGGAAGCCCACGAATCACAACGCGCTGTAGCACCCGGAGGCGGGCAGCATTAACAGAGAAACGCTTACATTTACAAACTTACAAGCCAAGGTATTTGTTTGTTTGTCTCAGTTAAGTGCCCGATGTCGTCTACCTCATAATCGTCCAAGTCCAAGTGTCACTTGGAGGTCGCAAGCATCAAAAAGACTTCGATCTTGGCGAGCTTCATTTTTCTGAACAGCTGGAAGCCACTGCACATTTTATATACGCTATTTATACATAAAGATCTACGCTCAATACGTATTCGTAAAAGAGGTTCAGTAGAATGCGCGTGTACATACATACATATGTACATATGTACATACTATATAGTCATGACGATAGCTGCATTTCAATATTCAGACGCCCTCAAGAAGTGAAAAGGCTATACATTTTTTTAATTTTTTTTTTTTTTTTTAATATATTGTAACTTAGTTTAATTGGTTTGTAGTTGCTGTAGAGCAACCACCATTGATTTAAGCATATTGCCAAATTCTTGGTTAAATTGTTAAGTTGATTAAGTTTTTTGCCATTGTAAAAAATTGTGTACGTAAGTCTGATGTTAGGGAAAAGCATCACAGTCTGCACAGTGAGATATGATTTCCATGACGGAACGATTAGATATAGATATACACACGTCGATCGAAATCGCAGCTGCTCTCTCAACGTTCCAAAAACAACAAGTACTGGAACCAATTGAATCGGACAAACCGTATTATGTAGCTGCTAGGATGCTAGAATGAGGGAACGACCGAATAACTTCATTAATTCTTAAGACAGGCGAATATTTCGACCAACTACATATATGCCATGATTGGGCGAAACAAGGTCACCATGTTATTCAATCCATGAAATTTCGACCACAACATTGAATAATGACTGCAAAAGTGCTCAGGCATATTCAATATCCAAATGAACTTCATTTAGAGAGGAGGGTGCTTCCGTAGTCCATATTTTCTTGCCCATATCGGTAGTAATGAGAAATGACTTTAGAATATAGCTTAAGGGAATCAAGAGTGAGGGAATAGCTTAAGGCAGAATTGTGGAATCGTTAGTAGTAAGGCAAAGTTGCTTATACTATTTAATTTTTAGCTGTGCGGTTAAATTAATTTTAATAATTTATTATTTTTTATTATATGTGTATACATGTCCCGCCCCATTGAGTTGTGGGCGTGGCATTTTAGTAGCTTGGATATGGACATTTTTGTGTAATACTCGAAATAAGATTCCAACAAAATACATCGAATATATGTATGTACTATAGATATATACATATGTACCTAGAATATAAATGCATCTGTGTATGGCTGCTGTAAGAATCACTCGATGGATCCTCAGTTCGTGTCAAACGATTCGGTAAGCACAACATTTTGATCGATGCCATAGAAAATAGTGCCATTCTGGATGTAGCCCCAGGCCATGCGACGCGAACTGAAGCTAACGCCAATCTCGCCATTGTAATCGACGACAATGGCGCCGCCAGTGCCGCCAAGACGTTGAGTCATCAGCTTGCATTCCTGTTCTGCGGCTGCCTGCGCCGACAGCCCTTGGTGTTTGATGGCTGAGAGTATGCGCTGAGCGAGATTGTAGCGCATAATGGTCTCGCCATGGCCGGTGGTGGATACGCCTCCAACAGTGTTGTCCGCATAGGTGCCGCAACCCAACAAAGGCGTATCTCCAATGCGTCCCGGCCACTTGCCCGTAATGCCGCCCGTTGAAGTGCCCACCACAATGTTTCCCAACTCATCCATGGCCACAGCGCCCACAGTTTCGCCGCTGGGATCGGTGCGCAACTGATCGAGTTCGGTGCGTGCATACGTGACATCCTTGCCTTGCAGCTGCTGCCTCTTGAACTCCAGCAGACCCTGCTGAGCACTCTCCGTGACCAGAGTACCAGCAGCCAATTTCTCAAAACCGGCGCCCAGTGCAAATTCCTGGGCTGCCAGGCCACCAATGAACACGTGCCGCTTCTTCTCCATCAACTTGCGTGCCACCGATATCGGATGCAGAATGTCGCGCAGCAAGGTGATGCAGCCGGCACGCAAATCTTGGCCCTCCATAAAACTGGCCTCCATCTCAACATCACCGGCCGTGTTAAGGCACGAGCCATGCCCAGCATTGAAGCATTCATTTAGCTCCATCGACTGTATCGCCCACTCGACAGCATCTGCGGCACTGCCCTCCACACTCTGTCCGGCCTGGAGTCGTGGCCAGGCTCGACGTAGTGCCTCCTTGATCCCATTGAATTTGCCAGGAACTCGTGCATCGGTTATATCGCCGGCACCGCCATGGATGAGCAGAACTGGGCGTGGCATTGCTAGTCTCCGACCCTAACTGAACCGATCGTAGGCAGCGACTAGATCTCTCTGGCTTAGTCTTACTTACTCCACCTACTATAATTATGAGTGCGTATCTGTGAACTGAAAAAAGCCGCCTGCCTTGTTTGTCTTGTTTACTGGCTTTTGTGCTTCGCTCTTTTGCACTCTTCTTCTATCGTCTCGCTTTACAAATGGAAATCCGTTTGTTTGTAATGCTTGTATGTTTATGAATGCAAGTAGATTCTGCCTTATATTTGTGGTGCGCTGATAAGATTTTTAGGGATGGCAAAATACATATATACATACATATTTAGATAACGGCAAAAATTGCATATGCGCGCTGGTATCTCTGAGTATGAAATACGATTTATTCTTTAATAAAATTAAAGCTGCGTTTTTAATTTTAAATACATATGCATATACGTACAAGTATGTAGATGCAAATAAATACAGAAACACACGCAGCAGAAATTATCAGCAACTACCACTCAGAACAAAAGTGCAATGGCCCGATCTTCTCCCAGCCATACTATCCCTCTCTCTCTCTCTCTCGTTCCCTCAAAAGCTTAGCTTGCATTCATGACATCTGCACTCACTGCAACTTTTTCACTCTCGCTGAGCAGGTATGTCAGAATAAGCTCTGTGGTGTGGCCATAGTGTTTGCATCGTGCTTTTTAATGCTGCCACATGTTCTGCCGTGCAGTTAAATTCAAAAATGTCGCTCATTGGTGTAGCCAGACAATGACAATCATCGATGACCACTCAGAACAAAAGTGCAATGGCCCGATCTTCTCCCAGCCATACTATCCCTCTCTCTCTCTCTCTCGTTCCCTCAAAAGCTTAGCTTGCATTCATGACATCTGCACTCACTGCAACTTTTTCACTCTCGCTGAGCAGGTATGTCAGAATAAGCTCTGTGGTGTGGCCATAGTGTTTGCATCGTGCTTTTTAATGCTGCCACATGTTCTGCCGTGCAGTTAAATTCAAAAATGTCGCTCATTGGTGTAGCCAGACAATGACAATCATCGATGACCACTCAGAACAAAAGTGCAATGGGCCGATCTTCTCCCAACAATACTATCCCTCTCTCTCTCTCTCTCTCTCTCTCGTTCCCTCAAAAGCTTAGCTTGCATTCACGACATGAGCACTCATTGCAACTTTTTCACTCTCGCTGATCAGGTATGTGTGTGTGTCAGAATAAGCTCTGTGGTGTAGCCATAGTGTTTGCATTCTGCCACATTATTTTGCGGAGCAGTTAAATTCAAAAATGTCGCTAATTGATGTAGTCAGACAAAGATGTCGGTGTTTGGTTTAGGCTGTGTATGCAATTGTAAAAATGCTTTGCTTGGATATAAGGGCATTAAAATAACATTCCAGTCGAAATGGGAGCGACAGAGAACGTATATTGAAACGTAGAGCTTATTGTGATGCCATTTCCATGAGAGCATGTAACAAAAGACATGCGTAATGGCATATCATGGGTTGCTATAGATGACAAAGCAATTGTGGGGGATATCCATAATACATCATGATCGCAATCAAAGATAGAGGGCAAATTCCCAGTGTCAAAAAAATAAAATAAACATCGGTTAATCAAGATCTGCTATAACTTTTACAGCTGACCTTTCACGATGATCTTGGATTTTTTAATCGATTCGTCCTATATTACATAATATGGCTTGCAGTAAAGTCTCTCTGCACATGGACTGGATAAGTCTAGATACTAAGCTTGTGCCCAGTTTTCTTGGTTTATAAGTTTTGGGTGTCTACCGGACAGAATATAGAAGATAAACGTTAAAGAACTAGGTAAGCATAAGGATCCAACTTCGCTTCGTGGAGGTTTTCAATGAGAGGATGCTAAGCTAGAGACACGACATAATGGACTTTTCTTACCTTGCACCCGAAGAGGAATGAGGATATGTTTCGTTTGTGCCAAGTATGTAACAGGCAGAAGGATGCATTCCTGACTTGTTATTAGCATGATGAAGCAATTCGAAGAACGGCTGTTCGCCTCTTAGCCTGGAATTCGACCAATCTTATATTCTCCTATTTCCTAGGCAATTCATATATTTTTATATGATAATTTACTTTTTCCCTTTTGCATAAACTAAACCTTGCATACGTATGTTAACACCATAGTTTTCTACCTCTGTTTAAAATTTTATTTAATCCGTCAATTAAAAACAAAACTGTTCGCTCTTGCAGGATGTTGATTTATCTGGGTAAAGGGTATTTTACGGTCGGGTCTGCTTGACTGTAACACGCTTTCTTTCATGCTTTTGTTCGTCGTCGAATTGCACACTTATGATAAATAATTTGTTTATTGCGTTGCCTTCATATCAACTGCCCATACTGTTAGGCGTCACATAAGCCCTTAAACAAACACAAATTCACATACATATGTATACAGACGTATAAGTATGTCCTTAATGATCGCAGGCAACTGACCTAGAAGCCGATTTCGACCTGCAGGGAAGACTTGCAGTTAGGTCCTTCGCTTGACTTCATTGGCCTTGTCAGCAGGTGCTAAGCACACACATATACATAAGTACTATATACATATACGTACATATGTTGCTAGTAAGTAGGCTTAGTGTGGCGCCTGCATGTGTGCAATGCATATACATACATATACACTGTGCATATACATATTTGCATTAGCTCCCCACGAACTGCGCTTTTCGCCAGGCACACACAATCTCGATGCATGCACACTTGTAGACTTGGTCTTTGAACCCGTCAAGCGTTTGTATTTAACGGTCAAAATTAATTAACAGCAAGCTGGACGCATGATTGTTAATAATATTGGCAGAGGAGGCAAACAGTTGGGGTTGCCACATTTTGCGAAAAACTATCTGCAGTACAGTAACACCAAAGGCACCAACATCGATATAATACATATCTGCAGTTTGCTCAAATTTTTGAGTGAATAATAATAACAATATTTTAGAAATGCAAATAAAAGAGTGAGACCATATAAAGGACACGGGCAGGACTCCTTGAGGCTGTCATATGAGAGTATAATGCCGCTTCTTTTTTGTTGTTGTTGGATTTTTTCAATCACTTTCCATATGTATCAACTGTACGTGCATTCTATTATAATAATAATTCCCTCGTTTCGATAGCACTAGGCCTGCTTTCGAAATGACCTGCCATACTATTATGTGGTCCTTACATTCATTGCAGAGAATTGTGTATGGCTTTAAATAATTCCACTGGTTGAAGACTGACTTATAATCGGCTCCAAATACATTTGGATCACTCCATTCATTTAGAGCCACCACATACAAGTATTTATTTAGGTACGTAATTCAATTTTGTTGGCGTTTCGTGGGCGTTTTTGGTTATTTACCAAATTGCTGTCATTACCAACAGGGATGTTGTTATTACTTGGTTTTGTTTGTATTTCCACACGTATGTGTGTGTGTGTGAGAGAGAGAGGAAATGCATGTTTTTGGTCAAAGGGCATCAAGTTCGAACCAAAAATCACAGAGCATATGCACACAAGTCGCGCATTTCGTTGTAATTCATTGTTGTTGCTTTCGCTGCTGCTGTACAATCAATTCCACATGAATTCGATTGTTGTTGTCGCTGTTGTTGTAATTGTCTCGTGCGATTTGACAAATGCATATAGGCTCGTTTGTGTGTGCGTATACGCCGGTACTGAAATATGTATGTATTGACAGCCGTAATGAATATGTGATGCAGCCTCGTCTAGCATTCATTTTGTTGGCGAAAACTAAAAAAAAAAAAAAACAAGAGAGAACGCTACAGTCGAGCAAGCCCGACAGTGTAATACCCTGTACCCAGGTAAACTTCCGTCACTGAGTTATATGCGCCCATAGCAGCAGCAAAAAGACGAATGCAGTTTGTGGGGGTTGTACTGGCCAGAATTTGTTTTGCTAATAACTTTTCTTAAAATTGACCGAATTCAATAAAACAGTAGACAATTATATATAAATTATGTGTGCAAAGTTTGGTTTGGTTTGGTTGAAATGTGGACGCTATTGAGGAAATTCTGTAGCGGGGGAAGGGGGGGAAAATTAAAAAAAAATAAAATAAACTCGTCCTTTCTCGGACCTAGGAGAATCTGGATGCCAACTTTGGTTATTCTAGCTTTTATAGTTTCTGAGATCCTTGCGTTCATCCAGACGGACAGACGGACGGACATGTCTAGATCGATTTCTGTCGTCATGCTGATTCAGAATATATATACTTTATGGGGTCGGAGATGCTTCCTTCTGCATGTTACATACTTTGCACGAACCTAATATACCCTTTTTACCCTACGGGTACAGGGTATAAAAAACAACAACAAAATATGCACACATGAAAATTATGCATGTACATATGTAGATACAGGTATGTACATACATATATATATATATAGCATGTATGAGAATAGACTGGCTGTCCAACTGAATAGGTTCAGTTTGTGAATAAAGAAAAACGATGTACTTGTATACAATCCGCATCTATGTTGATTCCTTTATGTATGACGTTTTCAATCGACATAAAAATGGAGGAGGTTATCAATGCGTCTGTATTTTCTATTTTTCTATTTTATTTATTTCGCATTCGACTGAGTGAACCGATTTTAATATTTCCTTTCAGCTGGTGCTTCCCGAATGGTCCGCTTTCTACTATTTTAAATATCAAATTCGAGTAAGTAGCGCTTCAACAAATTCTTAGCCCAAGATTCATTCATTTTCTCACATAAAGCTAATTTTGATTTGCTATGGGAAATCAATGGAGCTATGAATCTAGAGTCAGTTGAAATAGTCGAACAAACGAAAAAGCTTGAAGCTTGTATTATAGCTAGATTTCTTAGCAACATTACTACGTACAAAACACAAATTAAATATGGCCGACAAACCAAAACGTCCACTATCTGCGTACATGATATGGCTGAGCAGCGTACGCGAGTCCATCAAGCGGGAGAATCCTGGCATTAAAGTTACTGAGGTGGCGAAGCGCGGTGGCGAACTCTGGCGCGGACTGCGGGACAAGTCTGAGTGGGAGGCAAAGGCAGCCAAGGCCAAGGAAGATTACAATCGTGCCATGCAAGAGTTTAAGGCGAATGGTGGCGACAACGCAGGCTACCGTGGTGGTGCCAGGAAGCGCGCAAAGCCAGCAAAGAACCCAGCAAAGAAACAATCGAAAAGGAGCAAGAAGGATGAGTCTGATGACGATGAGGTGGATGAGAGCGACTAAATTAACAACAGTGGACCTGTCAATCGTCGTCAGATGTTTTTCTCTACTCTAAATTACACACCCAGCCGATGTTTCTTGTTAAAATTTTACTTGTGTATTACACTTTTCGATGATATATTGAGGCATTATCGTCTCTACATACATATGTCAGCAAGATGTTTTAGTAAATGGATTTTAATGAATCTTCACAATTTTATGAGGTGCTATTCTAAACATAGGTTGGCAAAAATCTTCTAGCTGAACTCTCCCAGCGAATGGTAATGGCACTACAATAGTCCCGTGCCTTGTTGATTGGTGGTGTCCAGTTAAGTTTAGGGATCGGGGACGCATAACCTTTGAACATGGCTCAGGGGTAAGGGCTGGATCCTGGTGTCATGCGACCCGCACCAAAGATCAGCCAGACTAGGTGCCCCCCTAAAAAGCACAGTCGCAAATAAATAGCAAATTTATTTGCAATATCTTTATAACATAGGATTTATCTTATTAGGAGTGATTTTTTTCACAGCTCAGCCTTAGGAATTAATAATAATCTATATCTGCAACTGGATAAGACAAGTTTACATTCAAAGTTTGGGTTTCCTAGCTTTAATGGTTAAAAAGTTCGCGGCGCTCATACAGACGAACAGACATACATAAAGGTACCTACAGTGAAAACTCTCCGAACACTCACGGTCGGACAATTTATGTCCGCCCAAGGGGAGTGACCGCTTAAGGGGATACCTAAATACTTTATACACCGATCGAATGTTGTAGAAAAAGTGTCCGCCGAATAGAGTGTCCGGATAAAAGAGGTGTGTCGATCATTTCGATATGCTTGATCTATTTAAATGAAGCGCATCGTATGCTATACTATATATGCATGTGCATATGTTCTTTCTATTGACACGTTCTGGTGCTGTTGTTGTCATGGGTTTTTTTAGGCGTACATGCTAAAATTTCACAATTTGCATTTTCAATTAGGAATTTTTGTGAAATTTGCTCAAAATTGATTTACAAATGTTATAGCCCGACATGAGTGGACCCTGCTATGAATCTGTATGTAAGTATGTATGTACGAGTAGGTATGCAAGCTCAGAGTTTAATGCTGGGGAATGAAGTGAATGATTATTGGGATGGTCGTTGCTCCCGTTGAGTGTGTTTTGTTGGCTGATTTGGTTTTTGTGAGTGTCTGCGTCCGTCCGTCCAAATATTTCTGACATGTGCCAATATTGTAACTAAACATGTTGTTGTGAGTGTTGCCTGCTCATTGCCAGCAAAATAATGTGCATATTGATGCATTGATGGCGCATACAACTCTACTCTCGACCCTGACTTTCCGGCCATGCGAGCGCATTCATGTCTGAATGTCCATAAAATTAGGATTCCATCAATCAAATAATGTGACAGATTATTAGTAATGTGATGCATTTCTCTCCCCTTCCCTTCCTATTTATTTATATTGATTTTTTGAAATAAATTCCAGTCTAAACGAAACCAAAATTGCCTGCAATGGAATTCTACTTTGATTAAATTTAATTTAATTTACAAACATAAACGTACCAATTCAACAGCTTTTGAAAAATTCAACTCTCACTATTTTGTCCTTTATCTGAAAGGTTTGTGCAAAGCCAAAAATGTAACTGGCAGATTCCACAAATGTAAGTACATTTAAACAAAATAAAATTTAAGAACACATTGAAACTTACGTTTATATCTACAACAAAATGTTAAATAAACAAGTAAAAAGTCAATTTTTAAATGAAATGTTTTTATATTTGCATAATGAAGTGACTTAAAATTTAGTTGTAAAATTTGTAGATAGGATTGTTTTTTTAAACATTATTTGTATTGTAAGATGATGATCTTTACTCCTTTGACTGCACCTTTGCCGTGAGAAGTTGCAAATTAATTTCAGTCGTTGTAACCCCCTCTACAAAAAATTTTGCTATATAAAGTCGACCACACGTTCATTATTATGATGCACTATTTCGCCTTAAAATGGATCTAAGTTGGATCTAAGTTTTTGGACCACCCTTTGGTAAAAGCTGCCTACGCCCTTGTGTGACACACTTTTGAAAATCAATATAAAAATAACTATAGTATTTGCTTGATAACAATGGCTTATATTACAATTGGTTAATTTTTTAAAGCTTTGTTTAATTACACATTTTCCAAAATCCAAAATTTACCCTTAATTGATATTTGTTTGCCCTTTTGCATTTGTTTAAAGGTAGTAGCAAACATTGTGCAATAAGTTGCACAATAACTTTTAGAAATATAAATGGTTATGATAAAATGCTTTTAGAATATACAAAGCTGACTTGAGCGTGAACTCTAACTTTGTAGGCCTATATTTCGCAATCGCTTCGAACATGTTAATTTAATTATATTTGAACATTTTTCTGCAATAAAACAAGTGAAGAAAAACTGCTTGTTAGCTTTTTTTTCGGTCATGGTGGACTTTTCTATGGAAATGCCCAAATGTATTTATTTATTTATTTATTTATTTATTTAACAAATCAAAAAATAGTGCTGTAATACGTTTTGCAAAAACTATGATTTATGTTGTATTATCTCTATATATATCTCTATATATATAAAACAGTTTGTCCTGACTGACTGATTGGCAATCAACGGCCCAAACGGTGAGAGCTAGGAAGCTGAGATTTGGAAACAAGTTTCCTGTTAAAGTGCAAGTGACTTGACCTTACACTCTAAGAAAAAATACCCGATAAACGGCGTAGAAGAAATAATTATAATAATGTAGATACATACAGACACACATATTTTGTGCATATTGAAAAAATATGTATGTATGCTCCTTTATATGTTTTGCAGTTGCATAAGTGCAACAAATATCTTTGCTAAATTTTAGAGCTTAATTACATAAATATACATATATATTTCACAATTTAATCCACAATATTATTATTTAATTTTTGTGAAATTTCACAATTTAAATCCACAATATTATAATTTAATTTTTGTGAAATTTCACAATTTAAATCCACAATATTATGATTTAATTTTTCAGAAATTTCCCAATTTAATTCCACAATATTATTATTTAATTTTTATGAAATTTCTCAATTTAATTCCACAATATTATGATTTAATTTTTCATAATTTTCCCAATTTAGTTCTCGACTTACCAGCGCTTAGGAACTTGGTATAAGAATCGCAGAGGAGGGCGCCCACAATATTTATATCTAATGGATCAGAAATTTCACAATTTAATTTCAAAATATTATAATTTTAAATTTTCAAAAATTTCAAAATCTAATTCTCGATTTGCCAGCGCTTAGGTACTTGGTATGAGAATCGCAGAGCAGTGCTCCCACAATATTTTAATTTAATTTACATAATTTATTTACATATATACATACATATGTACATACATACAATATAAATAGAACGTGCATGTATTGCCCTTAATTATCTACTTCTGTTTCAAATTTCATTCAAATCGGTTATTTCTAAGAAAAGTTATTAGCGAAACAATTTCACTCCGGTACTACGCCCACAGTCTGCAGCAGCAAGCTCGCTCTTCTTCTTCTTTTTGCTTCTGGTAGAAGCGCATATAACTGAGCTTCGGAAGTTTGTCTGGGTACAGGGTATTTTACTGTCGGGCTTGCTCGACTGTAGCGTTCTCTCTAGTTTCTGTTTGCTGTTAGACAAAAAGAGAATATTATTGTTTCCTTTCAAATCAAACTAAATACACGCGTATAACGAGTGTTAATCGATGTACCAAAATGTCTTCAAGCACTAAATTCATTCCGGTTTAATAAACTGCTAACATTCTACCCCTGTTGTGCAAAGATATGCGTACAAGTTAGCTAGCAAGGACTGCATTTAGTATTAAATATTTGTATGCATGTTGCGTATACGCAATGTGAACGGCAAAAGGACGTATGCGTTATGCATCCTTGGCTGCTATTAGCAACCTGCTGTTACTGCTAGCAGCAACAATGTCTGTGTGGCCAAGATGCCAGCATTGGTACAAGGGTATCATTAATCTTGAGACAATGCGCCCGGCATGACGTTTCTATTTGTGCCACGCGTTGCGCGCCGGCAACCAAATAACAATTTACAGGGCAAAGGCAAACTTGCCCAAATGCCCAACATATTCTACTGCTGCTCTCCTGTTCTTGCACATACATACACACATACTAAATACATACATACATACATACATATGTATGTGCGTACAAACGAGGGAAGCAACAGCGACGATGACTGCGAGACAAAATTACAATAATTTAAAGCAGTTTAAGCTTAACAAAAATCTCTTCATCATTATCATCATCAGAAGCGGCGGCAGCAGCTGTATAATTTGGTAGCATTTCTTTTCTTTTCTTTTTGGATCGGAGAGGGGGGGGGGGTGGTTGTGGGTGTGGGTAGAACGTGGTGTCGCCACCGCCTTAGACACAAGAGCGTTGCCAATGAATGCGTAAATCTGTCACAATTAATACCTTAAATCGTGTTTATATCGCATACTCCCACACAAACACACATACACACACACATACACACACACATACACACACACATACACACATTATACGTATATAGATACACTCGTACATGTATAGTATACATACAAATATATACTTGTATACACAGGCGTGCAGCACTCGCTGATACGCTTTCACTTTGGATTCCACAAAGGCAGAGCAAAAAGGCGCTCAAGACGCAAAGTCAAATAGGGGCAGCTGTGTGGAAAGTGTGGCGGGGGCAACAGGAAGTGTAGGAGGGCGCAACGCTCATTTACACCGGAAGTTGCCAACACAATTACAACAAAAACAGCATCAGCAGCAACAGAACAGACGATTTAAGTATAAGGTCTGCGAAATAAATAAATAATGTGCCGCTAAGCACTTTCAGTTTTTCACGTTCCAGTTTTTTGCGGCTATTTCTTCTTAAATTCTATCAAGTGTGTTCTCTTGAAATCTAGGTTACTTCTAGAAAAATAGGACTCTAGTATGTTGATAGCCCATCGGCATATCTCCAAATCTGGCTATAAGAATTTTAGAATTTAGAAAAGATAAGCGAGTCCTGAAACTCCACATTCTGGTATAATTTTGAATTAATTAATTTTGTTTTCTTGCCAATAGTGTTGTGTTTTGTTGTAAAACACTGTCACATAAAATGCACATAGTTTTCTGAATAGA